ATATGTGAGGACTTGCTTTCTTCTTTTTCTCTCTCTCTCTATCATCTTATTTCCTTCCTTATCCTTGTGTGTCTTACAGTGCACTATTCTTCTTCTTTTGACTGTTTATCTTTTATGTTCGTGTATCCATCATTTTAACGTTTGTTTCCTGTTACCGCTACTCACTCTCTCTCCCCTATCCCCACGATCTCGACCCCCCCACCTAAACCTCTTCCCCCCCCTCAGTCCCTCCCCCCCAGCCGCTGCCGTCACTCCCTCCCACGAAACAACGCTTCCCCCCCCTATTCTCCTTTCCGCCTTGATTCGTGTTCGGTGATTTGGTTATTTGTTTAAAACCCGTCCGGGTTTCGCGTCACTGGCAGGAACTTGTTGAAGAAAGGGGCCAAGTGAATGGGTGAAATGGCGAAGGGGAGGGGGAGAGGAGAAGGGGGTGGGGGAGGGGAGGGGACAGAGGGTTCAAAGGCAGTGGTTGACGACTTGTGTGACTTGAGTCGAGATCGAGGCGAGGCGAGCCGGAGAGGGTCTTCAGTCTTCAGCTGTACCGACGAGGGCACGGTACACCTACCTACCTTGGCCTGGAACTACGTAGGTACCTAGGGTACTACGACTACATGGACCTGGCAGGACCTGGTAGGGACCTGGCAGGGACCTGGACCTAGGCAGACAAGGCAGGGGAGTGCCGCCCATCAGCGCAGTGCCGGAGCAAGGACCGTCCACCAAGTAAAGTTTGCGTGCCCACCTACGCTCGACACGCAAGTGGTGACATTCGACGGCCTGCCTTGGTCGCCTCGTCTGCATGCAGGCAGAGGCCGGCAACAGGGAACGGTGGAGAGGCGCCAATGCGCCAGTGGACCGATGAGCTGGGATCAACAGACCTGTGCCTGGGCCTGGAAGCACGCCTGTGCCGCCGCCGCGTAAGGGTAAGGGTAAGGGTAAGGGTGTAAGGGGTGCAAGGGGTGCAAACTCACAGGGCCTCCAGAGTGCCGTACAGGAGGAGGACCTTGGGGTTGGGGAAAGGCTCGGCAGAGGGTCTGGTTGAGAGAGCCGATTTGGTGGACAGGAGACAAGGTACATGGTAGGTACCTTGCGCAAGTACGGTGCTGGTGGGAGGCTGGTGGGACAATCAGGAGTGGGTACGAATGCTGGACCGAATGCTGGACCGAATGCTGGACCTGAATGGCCACCTCGTACCTACTGGGTACCTGCCTCTTGCCAACCGCACACATCGACTTCCTCCCGCCAGTGAACCCTCTGGCCATTTCTTCTGGCCCCCTCTGGCCCCTCTGGCCCCCTCTGCCCCCTTCTGGCCCCTCTGGCCAGCCTTGCCTTGTGCGTCCTGGCAGCCTGCAGCCGGCCACACGCCATCTTGGCTCCGATCGTTGCCATATGAGCCGCCGTCGCATGCCTGCACCCGCGCCCCCTTTGCCTCTGACAGCACACCAGCCCACTAGCGCCCCCTCCATGACGAAGCCCCTTTCAGCCTGAGGGGAGACACAGCACTCATGAGCAGGGCGACGAGCCGAGGCAGGGCGGCCGAAGAACAAGACGAAATGATGCGAGTGTAGATTGATTAGGATGAACACGTATTATGTATGCAGCAGACGACAGACAAGAGGAAAAAAGAGAGAAAACAAAAAAACAATCCCCCCTAGCAATGCGTAAATCATATCTCCCTGGTCGAAGCTTGGTCCTCTTCGTAAACTTTCTCCATGCGCCGGGACTCCCGACATGTGTGTGCGTGTGCGTGTGCGTGCCTTGCTCGCACGCACCTGCGACGCAATGAGAAACCCTCCATTTTCTCTCTCTTGTGCGGCAAAGCCTCTTCTTTGGCAGGGGTGGTCTGTGAAGACGCGAGAGACGCCTACCAACCGACCCCGCCTGTATTCCTTCGCCAGCCTCTCCTCTACACCGTGACCCCGGCTGCGGCACCCCCGTCGCAATCGCACGTCTCGCGCGCCGGCCTCTCGCCGGCCTAGTTCTGCTTCTCCGTCTTCTCGTCGACGCCCTCGACGTACGGGTGCTTGATGGTGAGGCACCAAATGTCGAGGTAGTCGCAAATGGTGACAATGACGTCGACGACAAAGCTGCCGTAAACGCCGACGGCCATGCCGAGCATGAGGAACATGTACGAGACCTGGTAGACGCCGTCGCCGAGGGCCGAGGGCCAGCCAAAGGGCAGGCCGCGGGCCAGCAGCTGGGGGCCCAGCGAGTCGAGGACGCCAAAGGCGACGGGGATGACGAGCACGTTCCAGTAGGGGAACGGCAGCTTGACGAGGTGCGCCGTGATCATCTGGCCGACCGAGTAGGCGTTGACGATGCCGGCGAAGACGGTAAAGGGCACGAGGTGGTTGTGCAGGATGGTCGGGTGCAGGTAGAGGTACGAGCCGAGGAAGGCCCAGGCCGCGAAGAAGGGCCCCAGGCCGAGGAGGGCGCCGCGCGAGCGGTCGCCGCGCGCGCGCCGCGCCTGGATGACGTTGCGCGTCGACTCGAGCGTGTTGAGCACGAGCACGACGCCGCCCTGGGTGAGGTACCACTCGGTGAAGGACGCGTTGTAGATAAAACTTGGGGCACAAGAGGCAGCGCCGGCACGCCAATGGTCGGCAGCATGGCTGCGACCAGAACGACACGGCGCCCTGGTAGCCCGTGACGCGTGTAGATGAAGACATTCATGAGCACGCCCTCGACGGGACGTGGACGACGCCAAGGTGAGCTGCTTCGTGTAGTACTACGTCCCACG